GCGGCGGCGGCGGCGGCGGCGGCGGCGTCGGCGGCGGATGAAGGCGGGGGAGAAGAAGGAGGATGTGGCGGTGATGGTGGCAAGGATGGCGTCGAGCGTGGAATCGCTGGTGCTGCTGAGTTGCAGTGGCTAGAGAGAGAGAGACTGAGAGAGAGGGGGGGATGAGGTGGGTGTGGGCCATTCAGGGTTTTGCTGGGGCTGCCTTTACTCCAACGCAACGCGAGAGAGAGAGGGCGACGAGCGTGCGTCCACTTGGCTGCGTTGCGCTGCATGCAGAGAGAGAGAGGTTCAGTGCGGTGCGGTGTTGCGAGTCTTTGGTTGCGTCGGCGGCCGCGTCGATTTGGGGCAGCTGCGCATACTGACCGAAAAGAGTGGGCCAACGCCTCGAGCTGCGAAAATTGGATTGTGCGTGGGGATGCTGCAAGTCCGTTGGAATTCTAGACCGAGGCTGCGCGTCCGTTTAGGCTGTGGAGCGAAGCCGGGGTTCAACGCTGGTTCGCCGCCGCCGCCGCCGCCGCCTCCTCTTCGGTCTTTCGGCCCTCCTGACCCTGCCAGTCGCTGCTCTTCAACTTTAAAGTCCCACGTCGCCCGCGCGCCGATGGACAAAGAAGCTCGACACGCATGTCCGCCCTGCTTGCCTCTTCTTTGCGTGGGTTTGGAGAGCTGCGTCGGATTGAGTTGGGGTTGGCGGCGGCGGCGGTTGCTTTCGAGCTGCAAACAAGCTCCTGGCTCCGCTCACACGCGAGCACGCGAGCACTTCGGATCGACACCGCACCTGCAGCCTCGAAAGCAACGCGGACGGGCTCAGCAGCTCGAAGCCTTTCTGCAACGTCATCGCAGCGCAGCTCCCACGCCTCTTTCGCACCTTCTCCAGCGTCGCTTCGGCTGCATCCCAACTGCACCGAATCAGCTGCGCATCCGTGCACGTTCGACGTCGCTACAGACCGTGTTACAGCTTAGCGTGCTTCTTAGCTTCGACTAGTCCCGCGTGCCTGCATCGGCGCCTCGCCGACCGTGGCTTCCCGAACTGCGCTCGTGGTGGTGGTGGTGACCGCTACAGCCGAAGTCGTCTGCAACTTGTTTTACTGTTAGAGCGCATCTTTTTGCGTATAAGGAAAATGGCCGCCGGCACGTGACGGGTGACATTCTGACTCTCTCAGGTTTGATTGAGAAGAATCGGAAAGACGCTCTGCTGGGCTGCTCGTCTGCTCGTCTGCCCGTCTGCCCAGCCTGCCAGATCGCAAGGGCAAAAGAAAAAAAAGTTGCTAAGCCGGCTGCCAGCGCCAGAAGCTGGTGCTGATCACCTCCAACCTTCACCATCTCCATTCTCACAAATCGCTGTGATCGACACCATGATCAGAGCGCCAGGATCGCAGGCTCAGCTTGCACGCTCCGCCCTCGGCGGTGCCTCCACCGCTTCTCGTCTCGCCGCCACGCCGAGACCAGCACGCCTCGCGTCGGCCCTCGTCATCCCCAGCACCGCCTCCCGACCCAGCAGGAGCTTCACCGTCTCCTCCGTCTTCCGCCAGGACGCTCCCGCCGCACCCGCCGCACCCGCCGCTGTCGACACCGACGCCACTCCCGCTCCCGCTCCCGCTCCGGCACCCGAGCAGCTGCCCACCTCGGGCCGCAAGAAGCGCGGCACCAGGCAGCTCAGCGCCGAGGCCGAGGACGCCAAGCTGCTCTCCAGGTGGAACACGGACGATCCAGACGCCAAGATCCCGCCGGCCTTCAGGCAGCTCGCCGCCAAGTACCTGCTCAAGTGGGGCTGGTTCGACACGCACCAGTTGCAACACCGCGAGCTTGTAAACGCGCTCGAGTCCGCCCGCTTCCCCGAGTGGCTCAGGGAGCAGTACGAGCTTGCCAAGAGCTTCCGCTCGGCGCGTGCGCGTCTGTGGACGCCCAACGAGGCCGAGATTCGCGCGTACGCCGGCGTAAAGGACGCCGACACCAACGAGTGGCTCGAGGGTCGTATCAAGGGCGAGCGTCAGGCGGTCGAGGATCGCGGCAAGACCCATCAGCTCGAGTCGTGGGACCTGATGGACTACGAGCAGCAGGTGGATTATGCGCTGCGCAAGGTGTGGAGCAAGCTGTCCAAGGAGAAGCGTGCAGCGGCGCTGCTGCGTGTGCGCTACGAGTGCATCCGCAAGCTCGGCTGGAGGCACGGCTACTCGTCGGGCTACCCGCGTCCGGAGGGCGAGGCAGGCACGCATCTGCCGGATAAGCTGGGCATGCAGGGCGACGACGGCTGGGCGGCGTTCCGTAAGCTGCAGGCGGCCGAGGAGCCGCTGGCGTGGGAGGCGTGGCAGCAGCTGTCGCCCGAAGAGCGCATGGCCGAGGAAAGGGCGGCGTGGAAACTGCGCGACCGCTCGCAGCTGTACATTGACGATAGCGAGGACTCGATGATCCTCTCGTCCGTTGCACCGCGGTGGTATGCTGAACCGGAGCGTGCAGGCGAGCTGACGTTCCTGCCCAACACCATCGTCAAGCTGGTCAAGAACCACACTCTGCCAGGGCACGAGTACGATGCGTTCAAGGCGACGTTCCGCGTGCCGCTGAGCATGCACAAGCACGCCCTCCGCTCGTACCTGCTCTCGATCTATGGGCTCAAGACGACGTGGGCGCGTTCGGCGATCTACCGCTCGCCCATCACTCGCGACAACCGCACGGGCAAGAAGATCACCGGCCGCGGTAGGACGTACAAGAAGGTCGAGGTGGGACTGTTGGAGCCGTTCCTGTTCCCCGAGGTGTCGCCCGAGTTCCAGAAGCAGCATCTGCTGACGAGCGAGCTGGATTACGAGCGTGCGCGCGTCTACCTCAAGATGACCAAGTCGCCGCGATGGAGAGGCAAGAAATCCACGCAGCAGTACGAGGACGAGATCGCCAACCGCGATGCAGGCATGTACCACGGCCTGGACCCGCTGGCGGCCGAGGGCGTCAAGGACGCAAGGAGGGAAGAGGGCGACAAGTTCCCGCGCTTCATGGTCAAGACCAAGGGATTGCCCAGTGCCAAGCACGGCAAGATTCTGCAGTTGCTCGCGCAGGAGAGGAAGGACAAGGAGGACCGAATCAATGCGCTCATTCACCAGTACAAGCACGAAGCAAGTGTTGCCTCCAAGTCGTAGATTCCTCGTAAATCCAACCCCTTTTCTTTGCCTATTCGAGAGTGTGAGGTGTGGATTGTCTTGTTTAGATGATGGCTTGGGAACGGAGTTGTGCTACGGCCTGGGCGATGATGGCGTCGGTGGTGGTGTCGGGCTGAACATCTACGATGATGACGTCCGGTTCTTGGGGTGTGGGTTTTTGGAGCGTGTCGAGTTGCGAGTAGAGCATGTCGAGTTTCATAAAGTGGCCCTTGCGAGCGGCCATTCGGTGTTCCAACAAGTCGCGCGACAGGTCGAGATAGACGTGCACCGTCCTGAGATCCTTGTACTGCACATGCTCCTCGGCTGTGGCTGCGGGATCATCGAGCGCCTGGATCGATCCACGCAGCAACCTGCGGTAGACGAGCTTGAGGGCCGAGCACGCAATCACTGCCACCTTTGCCCCCGTCGTCGGTTGGTCCGAAACGTGCGCGGTGGGATCAACCGCTTCGTCCGTTGATGTTCGAGTCTGTTGCGAGGTTTCATACACCTCTGCCAGCTTCTTGACCGGTGCAGTTTCGGGTTGTGTTTGGGTTAGGGCGAGGGTTCGACCCGTCTCGCGGATGGTTCGCAACCAAGGCTCGCGATCCGTATCGTTGAGCGGCTGACCAGCCGACATCTTGGCAACGTTCGACGCAGGATGCAGATCGTCGCCGTCGACGAAAGGGCAGTGGAGCGACTGGGCAAGTGCAGATCCGACAGTGGATTTGCCGGACCCAGACGTGCCCATCACAATCAGCAGCACCGGTACCGAAGACATTGTAGCGTGCAAAAGATGATGGTTGCAAGCAGAGCCTTCGAGTCCCCCACCTCGGGTGTTGAACACGCGCGGGGGGAGGCGGCAAAGAGTGGAGTTCCTCCGGTCCGGACCGCGCTCCGCTTCCTTTTTTTGCACCGCACTTCTACCGACACTTCGCCCATTTTTCGGCATCTCAAAAATAAAGCCTCTCATCGCATCGCCTTCTGACTGGAGGGTAGTCTGCCACAGCCATGCGAATCACAGCGAGACGGGTGTGCAATGCTATCGAGGGTATCATTTTGTGGCCTGATGGAGAGAGTAACTACGCCTCGGCCTCATCGTCGCTGACGAGCGTCGAGTGTCTGCCTTCGCCCGCTGCGTCGTCGTGGTGGTCGTGCGCCACTCCGCTCTGCGCCAAACTGGGCGCCAGCACCCGGGCCAACGCCTTGGCCTGGGCATAGAGTGCGGTCCACTGCTTGGCATCCCACTCGCTGGCAACATCAGCTTCAGGTGCGGCAGCGGCAGTCTCGGCGTCGCCAGCCGCAGGTGCCGAGGGAAGAGTGGTGGAGCCGGCGGGAAAGTGGTCCGACACGGGCGAGCGCGACGGCGTGGGCGTGTGTTCGGAGCGCGCAGAGGTGGGTGTGGTGCCTCCGGAGCGCAGGCGCGAGCGCGTCGCGTTGTTCGCCGACAGCGTGGCCACGGACGATGTGAGTGCCGGACTCGTCGCGTTGGCCGTCGCGGGACTCTTGGGCGCGATCGAGGGCGCGGCGCTGCAGGAGGCATTGAGCGTGAGCAGCATGAGCGGTTTCGAGTGCTCTGCGAATGCGGGTGAGTCGTCGTGCACATCGTCGTGCGCGGGCTCGTTGCGCGAAGGACTGGCCGTCGGAGCAGGCACGATCGGCATCACCAGCACGCGGCCCAGATCGCTCTCCAACAACAGCGGCACGAGCTCTTTACCCGGATTCCCACCGCCCAACCCCGCCATCCGCGCAGCGTGCTTGGCCACCGACACCGACGCGCCGGGCATCACGACGACGCCTGCATCCGAACGCGCGACACCGTTGTTGGAAGTTGCCGTGCTCGGCTCGGCCGCCTGTCTCCACGCCGTCACGGCGATGGCCGAGAGACACGCCGCGCGCTCGTCGAGCGTGAGTGGCGCGGCGCGGGAGTAGGAGAGCTGCGAAGGCGGCGGTGTGCCAGCAGCTGCGGCGGTGCTGGCGAGGATGGATGCGACGGCAGATCGAGCCGGTGGATGCTCCACCAGCTTGGTGGCTACGGCGTAGAGCTCGGACGAGTCGACGAGCGACAGAAGCGCCGTGTGCGGCCGCACGATCCCAGCCTCGGAAGCATCGTCGCTAATGAGGCGCGAAAGCAGCTCCGTGATCGCAGCGGCTTGCAGCATCGTGTGAGCAAGCGTGCTGCTGCGCGGAAAGGCCGATGGAGGTGACGAGCGCGATGGAGTATGCAATTCCCAACACTTTAGGTGCAGTGTTGAGAGGCTGGGGGAAAATGAGCCGCCAAGCCGAGTCCGTGCGAAGGCAAAGGCGGGCGGAAAAAAACGGTGCGTCATGCAGCGCGGCCCGAAGAGCAGGCAGAGCCCAACATGCATCGAAAATAATGTCGCCGTGGGCTGCCTCATTTTTGGGGGGATGTTTTTAACCGCGGCATGCAGGGCCAGCGCTGAAAAGGGCTGCGTCGAGAGGTGGCGCCCAGGGTTTTGGGTTGCGATTCGGGTCGGCTTGCGTTGGGTTGGGTGGGCTGAGATCCGCGTCAGTCGGCAGGCAACGATGCGCGGCATGGCTGGGGGGCCGGTTCATGCCGCCGCTCGGACTGCGAGTCCATTTGTCCAAATGTGGGCTGCTCGCCCGCCTCCCCAACATGCGCGACGGCTCCTCCTGTCTTTCTTCAGCTCGACCATCTCGACGCAGCACTCTTTGCTTTTGCTTAAGCTCACCTGCTCGCGACGAAGCGATTGCGCGCGACGTCGGCGTTTCCGACACCACGCCGATTTGGCCCTCGTTCTTGCATCGTCGGCGCATCCGAGCAAGTGCTCCAGTTTTGGCACAAAGCAGCCCCACGACTGTCGGAGCAACGCCGCAACCAGCCATGGCAGTGCAGCGGTGACTTGGATCGATCGGAACGCCTCTTGTTGGACTCGGATAGACGCGTGCATCGCCACCACAGCAACAGCAACACCGCCAACACGACGCCATGAACTCGATCAGCTACCTCGACTCGGTGCTCAGTCGCTCGTTTGCGGCCGCTCCCGAGCGACCCTCGTCGCGCGCCTCATCCTCCGCAAAACGATCACGCTCCCACTCCTCCCTCCCCGGCAGCCGCAGAGCTTCGAGCGCATCGCCCCCAACACCCTCCGGCTCCTCCACCCTCCGCAGATGGTCGCAGGAGCAGGACGATCCTCCCCGCTCCATATACGGCAATGCACTCCGGCGCACGGGCAGCACCCCCGCTGGCATCAACTCCTCGCACGCGCTCACCGACGACAGCGACGACGACTCGCTCAACCCGCGCCCAGCGAGATGGAGCGGTCTCTGGGGCCTTACGGGCTGGCTCGACGAGGCCATCCATCCCGGCTCTCGTGCTCGCTCTCGCAAGAACAGCGACTCGCAGCTGTCTCTCCGCCGCACGAAGCGCGTACCCAGTCTCGATGACCTCCTGCTCTCCTCCACCGCACCCCGCCCCGGCCAAGCCAGGCGAACGGCGTCTTCGGGCTCAGGCCAACCTCACCACGGCCGCACAGACGGTTCCTCCAGCAGCTCCGACGAGGCTCGCTCGCATTCCAGGCGCAAGTCCAAGCGTCAATCTCGCTTCGGTCACGCAGCCTCGCTCACCCTCACTTCCGCCGACCAGGACGCACCACGCGAGCCGTGGCCGAGGTCCCAACAACCACCCCACGCGCATGACGACCCGGACCTCTTGACCGAAAAGGAGCGCGAGGACATCGTCGAGTTCGACGGCGGCGACTTTTCACCCGAAGATCTCGAATTGGCGCGTCAAAGGACAATCTCGCAAAGCAGCGCAGATAGCAGCTGGGACCACACCTCTTCGGTCACCCACGAGCCGCATCCGTCGCCCGCATCCGTGGCCACCTCGATCTCTGCATCCGAAACGGCGCAGCATACTCACCAGCACCAGGACGAGCAGGACGAGAAGAGCGTCGACAAAGAGACGCTGCTCGATGCAGCAAAGGGCGAGCCGGCTGCGATCCAGGCTGTTGCGGACGAAGATCCAACCTCGACCGTGGTCGACCCCGACGCTGCCTCGGCCACGCCCAAGAAGGAGACTGCTGCTGCGGGTCGAGAGGATCGGGAGTCGGAGCACACGCCGACGAACAATCGAAGCACGCTGAGCCCCTTGGATATCCCTGGCGCTGATCCCGGCACCGTCTCGGCATCGAGGCGCAGCTCGCTGCGGCGCAATCCGTCCATCAAGTCGGCACTCGACTGTGCAGCCTCGACGTCCACCTCTTCACTCGCAACCACCGACTCCGAGGAGCTTGTCGACCGCAGCCTCACCCCGACCAAGCCCAGAAGGCGTCGCTCCAAGCGCGGCTCCAGGTCCGGCTCAACCCGAGCGTCAGAGTCCGAAGAGCCACGAGGCTGGTTGGCTCCCCTGCACGGCAGTGCGGGTCACGACGGGGATGATGCAGCTTCGTTCAAGGGTCACGCGAAACGCTCCCGGCGCGGCGGCTCGGCGAAGCGCGCTATGCGTCGGGCGCTGCTTGCGCTGCGCGACCTGCTGCTTGCCGTCTTCCTGTGCCCCGTCAACTGCGTGCGTTACCTGCGCCGCCGCCGAGCCGTGCGGTCCGAGCAGGCGGTGCAGGCGATCTACGAGCGTGCACACGTGCCGATCCTCGAGAAGAACTCGGGGGTCTACGAGGAGACGAGCCGACGTGGCGCGCGGCCGGGGTCGCTGCGGTTTGCAGCCAAGGTGGACAGCAAGCGGGACGGTGAGAAGCGCGATGCCAAGGCGGTGAGGCCGCGTACGCCCAAGCCGGAGAGCGACGGTGCGGGGTTTTTGGAGAAGGAGCCGGTGACGGAGGATCAGGCGATGGAGATGGGGAGCGGGTGGCAGGCGCTCGAGTCGGGCCCGCGGACGCCGTCGAGGTTGCTGCCGAATCCGCAGGCGGTGGATCCGATGCTGGCGCACAACAGCAAGGCGGCGCTGATCGACGCGGCCATGGCGGAGAAGGAGGCGCGGATGGAGGCGGAGCGGCAGTCGAGGATCGCGCGCGGCAGGGCGGCGAGGCGAGCCGCTGCGGCTGGTGCGGTGAATGGAGGCGAGGCGCAGACGACGGCGGTGATGATGCCGTCCAAGGTGCCGCGTGGGCCGACGAGCTCGATCATCCACCACTCGCCCAAGATCCTGGTGTTGGATCTGGACGAGACGCTGATCCATTCGACGTCGCGCTCGCCGTCGCACTATGCGGCTGCGGGCGGTCGCACCACCACCTCGGGCTTCCTGGGGCTCGAAACGGCCGGGGCGGTATTGGGGCTGCGAGCCAATGACAACCCGCGTCGCATTCGACCGCACATGGTCGAGG